ATGGTGGCCAACATTGGCTACAATAACACCGACGAAATGGACGATTTGCCCGACGAAGACGTGGCCAAAGACTTCTACATCAAATACGAGCCCAAAGAAGTGCTCGGAAGGTATGCCTCACTCTCTGCCACCGTTATAACGGCTGATCCCATCACTGATCACATCTCTCTTTCCCACTGCAGAGGTGTGTCGAGTACTGTTCGCCGGTGTGTGGAGAAAGAGACGGGCCGTGAGTTCGCCGCCAAGATTATCGACGTGAGCGCCGATCTCGAAGACTCTCAGGGCTTGACTCTACGCGAGGCATCACTTCGAGAGATCAATATTCTTCGCCTGTCGGCCGGACACCCGTATATCAGTCAGTGTTTTGCTTATCATTGCTCACTGTTTAGTCATAATGGATGACATGATCTGCTATTTAGTGCTATTTTTCAATTTAATTCACAACTAATTGTTTGATTGAAAGCTATTTTGAATATCATATCATTTAGAAAGATATGTACTTTTGAGTACTGTTTAATTGTTTGCTATTTATAGCAATAGTATTGAAAACATGTGTAATTTCAGACTTAATAATGTGTAAAGTCTGCGAACAGATCAAAGATTGATCATATTTTTTAGTGTGAATTTCCATCTAAAAACGTGTGATCAAAGTCTACCACAAATGTTATATTTATTACAAACATGTTATGCAAACGATAGTACAATACAAACAATATTGTTTGTACGGCAAAGTGGTTAGAAAATTGGTTCTTTGCATAGTTATTGTGGTCAGTTGTTGTATCTGTGCGTCCAATCAAACCCCAGAAGTCAGTCTTGAGATTAGATTACGAAACCAATTGCTATCTTATTTATAGATATAGTTTTTTCCTAAAAGATTAACAGTTTCTCACTTAATAAATGCAGTCAATGTTAACGTCATTCTTGACATTGAAATTGAAATCAATTTTTCTGACATTTATCTAAATGTTTGCAATTATCTTACGATTAAATTCTTTGTCTCTAATAATTTCACAAATTTTAGTCTTTGCTCTAATATTTCCATTACTGACTTCAAGCCAAACAAAAATCACTGTTTTTAATGTTTTTTAATCTTTTTATTTGCAGTCGAATTACACGATGTGTTTGAATCAAACACTTATGTATTTCTGGTCTTTGAATTGTAAGTATTGATAATGTGTACCGAAATGTACAACTCATTTGGACATCGATTCTTTACTCAATTCTGTTATGATTTGTATTAATCAGATGCAAGAATGGAGAGCTTTTTGATTATCTCACGAGTGTTGTGGCCTTATCTGAGAAACGGACAAAGTATTGATTGAATTATTATTTTTGTTGTATTTAAACGATTGCTTTAACAGAATATTCTGTGCTTTAGAGCTATAATGAAACAACTGTTCGAAGGCCTTCATTATATCCATTCACATAATGTGGTCCACAGAGACCTTAAAGTGAGTGATGGCTGAACCAAGTTATAACTTATTGAACTTATTTTCAATTGTCGTTTATAGCCTGAAAATATTTTACTCGACGATAATTTGAATATAAAAATCTCTGATTTCGGTTTCGCGAGGGGTATATCACCGAAGGAACGACTATACGGTAAATGATTGGCTCAATTGGATTGTATTCTTATATATTGTTCGCCATTGTGTTGCAGACCTGTGCGGAACTCCCGGTTATTTGGCTCCGGAATTATTACGCGCGTCAATGTATGAGAACTCCGATGGTTACGGCAAAGAAGTGGATCTGTGGGCCTGTGGTGTCATTATGTATACACTGTTAGTGGGATTTCCGCCCTTTTGGCACAGAAAGCAGATGATTATGTTGAGGAATATCATGGAAGGCAAATACGAGTTCTGTAGCCCTGAATGGGATGACATCACAGATCAGCCCAAAGATCTCGTCAGTCTTCACATTGTCATTGAGATTGTGTTGAATTTAATTGAATTTTTCCTCTTTTGTCGCCATAAATAGATTAAAAAACTATTGGTTATCGATCCGAGTGAGAGGATCAGCGCCGCCGATGCCCTAAAGCATGGATTCTTTCAAACGGTGGTATGTATTAAATTGTATTGAATATTCAATGCGTGTCAACGACTCTAATCCGTGTCCAAACCATATGATAACGATATAGCGCTCACGTGTCGGCCCATTCAACGCTAGAAAAACGTTTAAATTGGCGATAATGACTGTGCGAGCGATGATCCGGATTAAGAGATTAAAACATACGCCCGAACCGTTAAGCTTAGAGATGGTCAGAATTAATCCCTATAAGATTAAGACGTTGAGAAAAGTAAGTGTCGACGACCTTAATGTCGAAAAGCAAATACTGTTATACGGTATTAATAAATGGCTATTTTGTTGACAGGCTATAGACGGCTGTGCTTTCCGTGTATACCATCATTGGGTAAAGAGAGGCGAAGTGCAGAACAGAGCGGCGCTCTTCGAGAATAGGCCTAAAATCGAAGCGAAACTCTTATACCAGGAATCGCTTATAGTTGCAAACATTAGGAGTTAGTTATTTAGTAAACCATAGGATAAAATACTCATCCCCTTTACAAAACCTCACACCCAGTCATCGCAACTCATATTTTGTAAATCATTTGTAAATAAGTTTTAAGTTATTTTCGGTTTAAGTGACTAAAAAGAGACACTAAATCAGGTGAATAGCAGTAAGTCGTGAATTTGAAGCGCGAATTAGGCCAACCAATTATGACGATAATAACAAATTTACAACACATTATATAAATATTAAAAAACTGATTGTTATATATTTTGAGAAAAAATCAGGTGAATAGCAGTAAGTCGTGAATTTGAAGCGCGAATTAGGCCAACCAATTATGACGATAATAACAAATTTACAACACATTATATAAATATTAAAAAACTGATTGTTATATATTTTGAGAAAAAATAAATTATGAAATGATGTGATTCTGTATAATTATGTGTATATATAATGATATATACCTTATATTTACAATTAATTAGTTAATTATGATTTAAGATAAAAAGTTGTCCGTAAAAAAGGTAGTCATGTATTTGTTAAGTGTTCATAGAGTTGACATCTGTTCCAACTGTTCCTTGAATTCTGTGTACAGGCGTTGGAGTCGTAGATTAGTGGCGAATATAGACAGAACCTCTTTGAGCATATCGTGCTTATTGTTGCCCAATATCTTGGGATCCCATTGGCTTTTAGACGACTTGAACACCGGGCCGATCAGGTACTGACACACCTCCCGCAGGCGACTCTCCATCGACTCTTTGGACAGGTGTTGGGCCAACGCTATCAGCCAAAAGCGGTACTCTTTGGCCGACCCGATCACGAAAGACGCGGCCAACTGTTGGTCGATATAACTCAATACACCCGACTGTTGGAGGTTAGCGTTGGTCACAAACAATGTATGCATCGATCGGTTTGTCCTGTCAAAGCAAAAGCAATCCATTTTAGTTTTAAAGCACTCATTACCGGATCAATTGATGGCTTACTTTGTTTGCGACTGAATGGTCGACAGGGGAAGAGAGCTCGGGTCAAACGCGTGCGGCTTCTGGTCAGTGCAGTGGTTGAGGGCATCATTAGTGTTGGAAACCAGAGTCCAAGTGCCGAACCCCTCGTCAAACACATAGGACTTACCGCTCGATAAGCAAATAAGAGGCGAACCCGTGTCTGTTATACCAGTGCTCAGAATAGACACGTCGTTGT